CTCTCTCTCATTCTCTGTCTCGCAAATAAATAAAAAATCTAAAAAAAAAAAAAATTATATATTGATTCAAGAGATTTGTGTAGGCATGGTTTTGTTTTTCACTCTTACATTGAAGGTGTTGATGTATTGTTAGGCGCTGCTGAGTACTTTTCAATGGTATCAATGTCAATTTAATTTGTCTCCGTTAGTAGTGTTGACTATCACTTCAGGCTCCTTGCATTTACAAAGGGGGCTCCTGAATATAAACCTGTCTGCTCAAATAGGAAAAAGTGGTGGAGTGAAAGAGGCAGAAGCACAGTTGTGCATGCCTGACCATCTTGGCTTCTTTCTACACGTCGTGCTATACAACAGCTACTCCTGACTCAGAGAGTATCATAGCGGATCCATTTTCCTACCTGTTAGGTGGTATTAGTCTTGTCACATTCTAAACCCTAGGATTTAGATGCCACGGTGCTTCTAAGGTGTATTAGTTAAAAATAAATGAATAAATAAAAAGTACTCCCCGCCCCCCCCCGCCCCTCCCCTTGCCGCACCCAAAATTGCCAAATACACCAAGGCAGCAACGTGCGTGCGGGTGCAGATACGCCCTGGGAGGGAGCACAGGTGTGTGTACGCACACACATTCACCTCGGGTACCTGTTAGACAGCGGGGTTCTCTCCACACATCTGATCTGGATCGTACTGAGTTCTTGCACACTGCCCCGGTGGCTTCCGGAAACGTTGGCATTTGGGATGCGGAAGGTTTTTTTGTGTCGTCGTGAACAGCAAGTGCTGGTGACTCCTTGCGAAGAGAGAGAGGGGCTGTGGCTTGAAGGCCGGTTTCCGGTCGCAACTTCCATGCAGCTTTCCTCAAAGACCTGCTCATCCACAAACTCGTGATTCTGTTCCGCAGCGGTGAGAACGCGAGGAGGAGGCACAGAAACGCATTTTAACGTTAAGAAAGGAGATGAATGGCTTTATTTTTAAAAACTCAAACATGCCCGTACACTGAGACGAGCCAACGGGCAGCTAAGACCATTTTCATAAAGCCTGGAATATCGAAGCCACCTCATGCGGGCGTTTGTGCGAAAATAAAATCTCCCTAGTCAGCCCTCGAGATGGACATCTGCAGGCTGATTTAGGATCTCTTCATGGACTAACTTTATCTTGAAACACCACGTGTTAATTGAAACATCATTTCCGGAAAGGAAAAAGAAAACTCTTGAAAATGCATATAAGACAGTGCTGCTCACGGTGAATGTGTCAATTCACATGGACTTTTCTTTTTTAAACAGATTGGAATCATGGAAAAGAGGCTATTTTAATAGAATGCCCCAAATTAGATTGTCTGTTATATATTAGCAAATATTTTCATGTGGGATTGAAAACATCTTTTAATTAGAAAATGAGATCCCGAAGATACTTTCTATTTCCTTAGAGGCTCCTCTAAAATTCCCAGTGTATAGACAAGTGACTCATTAGTTAAATAGGTAAAAATACTGCAAAATGTGCCACTTTGTGTTTGATCCAGAAGGGGTTAGCACTGAACTCGGAGGTCTCCCTTATCTTCATGATACATCACCACCTCTGCCTCTATTCAGAGTTCTCCTAGCCAAGAGGCACACAGTGATGGGCATCATTTCATATGCCACATTTTAGAAAAACCACAGTGAAAATTTTGCTTTTGGAATATTTAATAAAGAATCACTTCCTAAAATGCCTATATAAGAATTTCACCTCATAACTATAAGGGAAAACATTTTGGTCTGAACTGCAGGAGAGCGACTTCAATTACTATTTTTTTTCTTTGTGTAGGTGGGAATAATCTTGTAATGGAAGGCTTTGCATATGCCAAATTCCACGTAACCATCTCTCATCCTACAATATTAGTGAAACAATGGAAACAATTCACTGGCCAACAGCAAAAATGTATTGTTTTCGTTACTCATTTTGTTATTTCTTTGCTGAGACAAGCATTTTGAAGTAAATGAAATTTAAGATTCCACTGTTTAAAGTCCAGAGAATAATATGACCAGATAAGACAGAGTTTCATTAAGAAATGAATTTCAATATCAAGTCTTATGGAAAAAATACAGCCCACAAAGGATTCACAATCTGTTTTCTTCTTTTACAATGCACATTTCACACACATAATACAAGTATATAGTGCATGAGATTCTAATTTATCACATCAGTGACTGGAAGTGAAGAAGTCTTTCTGCTGCTGGTTATTTCTGTAGGTAGTTTAATTTAAACAGTAATAACTGGTGTTAAATAATTTTTTATTTAAGAGGTAAAATAGTAAAAATAGAAGATAAAATAGTAAAAAATGAAAATAAAAAAGCACGGAGATAAATACACCTGACTGTTAATGTTACCGTTTACCTTTCAAAGAGTTATCCTAAGCTATAGACCTTATCCTGTAAGTTATGGATCGTTAGTTACAAATGCAAATATAATCATGTAACTACCCTGTTTAAAGCCCTCAAATAACTTTCCATTTATTATGAGATAAAGATCAAAATTCTTCACATGCTTTCAAAGGCTAGCCATTGTCTAGACTTCCCCTGTCTCCTCCTGGGTCACTCTACTCCCTGTCTTCTGATCACCCTCAAGTTCTTTCAGTTCCTCTGGCGCCAAGTTCCAGCCTTTCTCTGGTGCCCACATCACCTTTTAGCCCCTTCATTTCTTTGCCAAATAGCTCCTAGTCATCCTGCAAGCTCCTCCAGGAAACCTTGTCTGATCCTGTCTCCTCATGGCTCCACCTTCTTTGTGTCACTGCACTGTGGCCCCATTTTTCCTTCTGCGCTCATGACCCTTCTCCAGGAACATCGGTGTTTTGGCCCATCCGTGGAGGCTTGATGGGGGCAGAGACCACACCTGACTTCATGGCGTCTCCAGAGTCTGGCTCACTGTCTACCACGTAGTAGGCAAGCAATACAAATTTGTTGAATGACTACATAGGTAAATGAAAAAAATGCACGGGTGATATGTTGGAATTGAGAATACAAGGATGTACCTCTGGGGAGTGAGTGAGCAGAACTGATTCCAATACGGTGAAAGTTTTGTTCTGCTTTGTGGTCAAAGACTGTGGCCCCTTTTGACAAGCCAGCTAGGGAATGGGTGCCTTTCCTAAAGTAGAGATCTGATTGAGAGCTTCTAAACAGAGAAATGCAGACTCAAGCCTCAGCTCCAAGGGGCTTGCCAGGGATGAAATGTGTCATTTTTCCTATGGGAACACAGTTTTTTATTACCTATCTTGTTCATTACAACCTGTTAATGAAAGAAAAGCTTATATTCAGTTAGTCTCTATTTTTTTGTTACTGCTATTGGTATTCCTTTTATCTCGATGTCAGGAACACTTGAACTACACTGGTTTTCGTTTAATCAGCATTTTCATAATCAGGGGAAAAATGATATTTTGGAGGACCTGCAGTCACCTCTTGGGAAACAACTTTTCATCCGCATTAAACTGACATTTCAGACTAAAGTTAAGATAACCACTAAAGATAAAAACACTTTAGATAATTCTCTAAAATACTTTCCAAGTTGAAACGTCACTCTAGTATTTCAAAGCAATTTCAAATATCCGTTTTTTTTTTTTTTCATTTTTAGTATATTTTCCAGTAATGTAGACAGTGAAATCATACTTGGGAGCATTAAGAATTCACAAAAGCAAACGGGATTACTTCCTCAGTACAGGGGCGGACAGTCGTGCCTTTTCCTTACCGTGGTTTTTTCCAGACAGTGAAGCAGGTGGTGGTGCTGGGTTTCAAAGCTGGAGCCGGATTTGCTAACAAAGGCCTGCTCATCCTCTGAGGACTGTTAACACACAGAAGACAGAAGTGCTTTCTATTTTATTTGCAAACAATGAGAACCTCAGCTACACATTTCCACAGAGAGATCTAGCCTATCTCCTGAGATTAAATGGTAGCATTTTAATTTTTTTTTTTAACTAAAAAGGGACAAATGTGCAGTTGCTTTTAATTTTGGTAATCAGCCTTTATGTTCCTGTCACATTAGCGGTCTGGCCTTTTAGACTTGCCTCTCTGAATTGAAAATTTAAATAGTTTTTCCTCATTCATCTCCCGACTACCTTCGAAAGCCTGGGAGCTATATTTTTTGGATAATAAAATTTAATCTCGTACTTAGGTAATCCTGAAACCATGATCATGCTCACCTACATAAAAGCCATTTTGATGGCACGATGACCGGAATCCTAAATATTAAAGGACAGTTTTGAGGTAAAAGCTACTGTTTCTCTAGTATTTCATACCGTGTGAGCTTTATAACCCTGAATGGTGTTCCCTCTCCATAAAGAAATAAGACATCTTAATCCACTCAAACCAATTTTAAAGAACATAAATAATTTTGAAACAAAAATAGGTATTTGAGTTGAGAATTTCTGACCTTTCCCTTGTGTACATAACATAGTAAAGAAGTACTGCCCAATCCCGAGTGGGAGTCGTGAATCACTGGCCACATTTCATAGCCCGAGTCCTAACCTGCTACAACCAGCAAGACCATAGAGCGCAGGGTTATTTAAAGATGACGCTTCTGTTGTTTGGGTAGCCACTGTCCTAATTACCCACAATAAAATTATACGGTTAAATAGAAGTAAATCAATATTACACTGATAAATCGAACATTAAAAAAAGTGAAACGCTTGACCGTACCTGCAGCTGATTACTGAGTAAGCCATTCCGTTTGCTCTGCATGTAAGCGTTGGCGCTTCCGGTTTTGGCTGCCCGGATCCTGGCCAGTCTGGCTTTCTAGAAGCCAGAAGAAAAATAAATGTTGTGTTAATACTTATGAATTGTTTTCTACAAACAGTGAATGCACTCTTGTGTCATGCTAATGTCAGTGTACACAGTTTTTAAAGTATGCTAGCTTTCACATGGAATTACTGAAAATTACATTTTCACCATTGGAGTACTTTATTTTCGTTAACTTCTTCAGTAAGATCCATTAACTACTTTGGAGTTGGGTTACGCACTTAAGACTTGTAATTAAGTCGTTAGAGTAAGATCAAGTTATTTCATTATTGTTTCTGTCAATTGTGTTAGGAGAAAAATGGCAGCATTCCTTTATTTATATTTTCACTTATCCCAATCTGAGTAATTTAATGAAATGAAGACTTAGCAAACCAGCTTCCAAATCATTTTCATTTAAACTAATGTCCTTTTAAAAATAGCAAATACATTCCAGGAACCAATTGCCTGCTTCCCTCCTTCTTTCCTTCCCTCCTTCTTTCCTTCCTGCCTTTTAAAAGGTTTAAAAAACAAACAAACAAACAAACCAAAAAACCCTGTACTCTCAAATATCAATTTATTGTTTGCAATTATTTTGTTAAATGGGGCAATGTAGACCCCATGCCGAATAACATGGAGTCTCAAAAAAAAAAAAAAAATCCTTAATTTATTCACTTTTTCTACTGACACTGGTGCATACTAGGAGCATGCTTACCTGATTTCTACTTTTTTAAATATTTTATTTATTTGTTTATTTGACAGAGACACAGCGAGAGAGGGAACACAAGCAGGGGGAGTGGGAGACGGAGAAGCAGGCTTCCCGTGGAGCAGGGAGCCCGACGCGGGGCTCGATCCCAGGCCCCTGGGACCATGACCTGAGCCAAAGGCAGACGCTGAACGACTGAGCCACCCGGGTGCCCCTGATTTCTAGTTCTTTCTTGAATTGTTGAAATGAGAGCATAGTGAGCCACTCCAAGGAGATTTATAACATTATTTTTTAATTTTAAAACATTTTTGCATAGAGAATGTTCTTCAATTTAGAGGGCTTAGGGTGGTTACTTTGATTGTTCACAGTTACAGTGAGATCACCAAAGTGATATTACTGAGCAAACTGACCGTTTAGCCAGATTTCTGGTATTCCATTCTCCGTTAGAACTGCTGTTGTATCTGGAATGAGTCATGGAATGAGTCTGGTTTTCACTTACTGGAGGGCACTATTTTGGTGAACATTCTGTTTGTATGATTGTATATCTAGCAAGTGTATGTAAGAAAACAACTGGAATGGTTTGGTTAAGTTCTTATAGAATTACCCCATAAAGACTCCTTCTTTACCATTCTAAACAACCCAGATGAATATTATCTGTAGTCTCGAGCCCTGGGATGTTCTTTTTAATAAAAATTTAAAAATTATCTAGATTTTTTTAAATGGAAAATGAATATATACATATGACAAAATTTTATTAATCCAAAAGTGCATCAAAAATAAGTAAGTCTCTCTGGACCCTGGAGCTGCCCTAATTCTATGCTTCAGGGGAACCACTGGTAATATTTCTAGAGAATCTTGCCAGAAATTTTCTAGGCATATAAAAGCAAGTGTGTGTGTGTGTGTGTGTGTGTGTGTAGACACACACATATATATGTATATATACCTATACGTAATCATACATCTATACACACATATTTTTACTCAGTTGGGACAATACGCCTCATACTCCTTTGTACTCAGCTGTTTTCATTTAATCCAGATTGGAACTCCTTCCATATCGACATATATAGATCCACCTCATTCATTACAAATATATAATATACCAATGAATAAAGCACCGTTTATTTAGCTAGCCAACTACCATTAATTTTTTAAAGCCTCTTTTGCTTAAACTGCCTGCCTTGAACATCATGATGAATTTATCTGTAAGACAAATTTCCAGAAGCAGAACTATTCCTAGATCAAAGGGTGTGCGTGTGTGTTTTGTTTGATAGGTTTTACCAAACTTCCCTCCAAAGTTGTACCAAGAGCCCTTCCACTCACAGGGTTTGAGAGTAGCACTGAGACGGTCTGAAGCTCTCAAAATAGCATTCACATATCATCTGGGCTTCGACTCCACCCTTTCTCTCTTCCTCTGAATTTATTCTTCCTGTTTGCTGATTCCAGGTTAAAGTAATACTTTGTACAAAGGTCATATTTATAAATGATGAGAAAAATAGACAAGTTTCACTCTTTGTTGACAGCATACTGTTTAGATCACTCAAAGTACTGAGACAATACAAGAGAATGAAGGTGGAAGGTAGGAAATTTTTAACTTCAAAAGCTGTGCTGCGCAGCCCGGATTTCATGCCAGTCTTGATAAAACAATGGGAAATGAAAAGCACCTTTGGAAATGACTTTGAATTGATGTAATAATTCAGAAATAAGTAATTTAAATATACATTTGATTTCCAGAAAAGGATTATTGCTGAAATTTGAATCCTAAAGTCTCACTGGTCTCCTGAAACATTCAATGCCTTTTCTGGTCTCATTCTTCCCAATGCTCCTCCCTGCTCCCTCCGTCCCTCCATCCCTCCCTCCTTCCCTCCCTCCCTCCCTCCTTTTTTCCTTCCTTTGATAACTACTGCATATAATTGCATTGCCTATATCATAGCTACTAGTCTCACCTATGTCATCCTCCAAGCATTTAGCAGCTGTATTAGAAAACATTTTTCTATAAATGAGAAATTTATTTACATTAACCAAAAATACTGTCCAGCAAAGGAAAATGACGTGCATTTCCCACATGGGAAAGCGTCCATATGGTGGCGACCACTACAACAGAAGTCGTTCTAAGCTTAGGAAAAAAGAAGTAGTTGTTTTAGAGACAGAACAGCCATTTTGCTAAGCCATGTACTATGTTAGAAAAATACCTCCCATCTCAATTTCAATCACGATTTTTCTTTCATTTTACAGCAATACTGTATGAGTTAATTGGTTTAATTGGTCTTGTGGAGCACCACACCAAATGTCTGTTGAATAATGCTAGCTTTTATGACCTGTGATTACATCTTTGCTTTCAGTAGGTAATTGAGGAAATTTCTTTTACAAAGATATTTTAGAAAATCACCTTACTCTGACCCACTCAGTATGACAATCTTGGCAAGGATGGCTGTGCGAATGGGAGGTTAAAAGAAAACCATCCACTAGTAAGAGGAAATGTATTCCTCGTAGCCCCCACCCCCAGTTTTGTAGGAAATACAACTTCTTGGCCATGCCAAGTACCAGCAAATATTATGGAATGAGAGGAAGGTTTCAGTAAATACTTTAGCCTATTTGGAAAATAGGAGGCTTCCAAATTTTTAATTAAACCAAAAGGCTTATATTGTCTGTGTAAAAAAATAGCTTTGAAGTTATTTTCTGAATTCTTCTTTTTTTTTTTTTTTTAAAGATTTTATCTATTTGACAGAGAGAGACACAGCGAGAAAGGGAACACAAGCAGGGGGAGTGGGAGAGGGAGAAGCAGGCCTCCCGCCGAGCAGGGAGCCCGATGCGGGGCTCGATCCTGGGACCCTGGGACCATGACCCGAGCCGAAGGCAGACGTCCAACGACTGAGCCACCCAGGCGCCCCTGAATTCTTTATCTGCCTTAAGAAACATCAATGGTGTTGGGAAAAATAAATTGTCCCATAAGCACATTTTCCCCATACATCTCAATTCTTGATAAATTCAGTTTTCTTCTTAATTCTCTAAACTCAGAAAGATTTCTCAAAGTTGGGTTTCAGGGAACTAGTAAGTGTTATGGGCAAAATCCAAACCAACCTAATGAAATGAACAACTGGTTCTGTGGTCAAGAAAAGTTTGGGAAATGCTGAGAGGTTAAACAGGTTTCTCTGCTGTTGGATTCCTTACAACATACACTGTGGATGTTCATTGTGAGACAAAAGGGGGGGATATAGTATACACTTTTTCTCAAGCTAATTTGACACAGAACCCTTTTACTGTGGAGTAGTCAGAGGCTAGTATGCAGCAGTTTTTCAGCAAGTAGATTGTTTTTTAATTGCACCAAACGACATTACATAAACTTTACAATGTGTTCTCTGGACCAGAGGCAGGGGACCCAGTCAGAGAAATATGTACAGTATAAGCCAAAAACTGTTGAGATAGCAGTGTTCTTAAACGCGATCTATCTTCTAAATGAGGTATGAGGTAGATAGTGAGAAGTCATTGGACCATGTTGCTGCCAAATCACAAACTGTTTTCAATACTTTTGAAAAATAAAGGTATCCTAGGTAGCTTTCAAAGCGAGGTAGCGAAGGCCTTTCTCCTTTATAATGTGAGGCAATTCCTCACTCCTCAAACATCACCCCACATACTGCATGTACCATTTATTCTGGAAATTTTACTTAGACTTGTTTCTTTCATTTAAGGTTCAGTAAAATGCCTTACGTGGAGGTAGCATATTAACTTTATCAGCTTTTACAAATTTAAGACATTTATTGGAATCTTTCCATTTGTTAAGGTAAATAGCTCCCCTGGAAATGAGGCAATTTAGTGCCAAATACTAATAAAAAGAGAGAGAGGGAGGAAATCAGTGGAAGATAGTACAAGATTCCCACCTGGTTCTGGAGCTCAGTGAATCCTGGTGATGACAGGGCTGGGTAGAAACCGTGCTGGCATTTGGGTCAGTGGAAGGGATACTGGATGGGTCAGTGAAAGAGAGGGCAACGAGAGTTCTCTAAGTGGGAAGAGGTAAGAACTGAAAGATGTAGGAGGTCACCAGAGATAAAAAATCATTCTTCCTAATATTGTTTTCAACTGGTCCTCAGAATGTCCACCCTACACTAGGAATAGAGGACACTGTCAAGGTGAACAAGACCTCGTTGTTCATTCTTTCCTTATTACACAAATATTAAATCCTATTTTATGCCAGGCACTGCACTCAGAAGAATGGAGAGGGAGAATATAGCATAATACATGATAACAGAGTATGCATAAAATTGTGGGAGAAGAGAAAATAGAGCAATTAATGGTGTTCACATCATTTAGGAAAATTTTCATTAAATGGGTAATATGTGAGCTGAGTGTTGCATTCTGAGTGGGAGTTTGCCAGGTGGCTACATTAGGTGGTGTGGGGATGGAATGGAGACTTAAGGGCAGAAGTAGGTGATTCAATAAGGCTGAAACACAGAGTGGATCAAGAAGTATATAATGTCCAGATTCTTACATGTGTTGATAATCGGGGTTCTTAAACTACAGACAAAAAAATCTAGCTACCCACAGAGATATTGCATAGGGACCAAGTGATACTTTTTAATATTGGATAATCTAAGAGAGATCATACTCAGGTTCTAACAGGGTATTACTTATTTTAATTATTCTAGAATGCTATAAAAATTATTTTATTTGGACATTAATGAATGTCCTAGACAAATGTTTCTCAAAGTATGGTTCCCAGACCAGCAGGATCACTATCACTTAGGAACTTGTTAGAAATGCACATTTTTAGACTGTAATCCCACATTACTGAATCAAATGCTTTGAGGGTGGGTCTAACAATCTGTATTTTAACAAGCTCGTCAGATAATTCCAATGAATCTAAAGTTTGAGAACCACCAGAGTAAAGTGTGATAAATGAGTATTGGTAAATTCTTTCTATATCAATGTCAACATCTTTATGTGACAAGTAAAAAATTTACTTATATTGTACCTTGGCTGTACACTGGCTCATTGATTCGAAACTTCTCACTGTATTTAGAATTATCTATAGAAAAATCCCTAAAGATACATAGCTCTAATGATGCCAGAATTTTCTTGTCTTAGACTTTAATCAATAGGTGTGTAAGCATAAGCATGTCATCTGTAAAATGGAAATAATAACACTTCTTTTGTGAGTTGATTGTGGAAATATAAATAACAGATATAAAATGCACTTGGGATATACTAGAAAATCTAGAGAGGGTTGTTTTTGCTATTAGCACTATTAAAAATTATAATTACTATTACTATTATACATAATTACTTACAAGTTAGCCCTGTAAATATGCAGATGATAGACTGGTGTGATTTGTATCTTAAAGCAGGGTAGGTTCCCTGCCTCAAAATATCAACCCTACCAAATGTCACTGCATCAACTCAGCTTTATTTTGGCAAACACTTTCTACTCAATAAATACTTTTTGAATAACTGAGTGAATAAATAAATCTATTAAAACAAAATTACCAATGGGGGGGTGAAGGAGATATGTCACAGATCTATATTCACCCAAAGGTCAGTGTTTAGTTAAGAAATGATCAAAGATTGCTAGAAATGGGTAAATGATGCATTCTTTTTAAGATTGGGGACAGGTAGTGAAAGCAGGAAGAGTACTTGCTGGGGGAAGAGCCTAGAAGAAGGGAAGTATCCCTAAATGCTCAGGGGAATGTTCTCAAATGCATATTGTATGTATTTCACGCTTTTGCTTGAGCTTGGAGTTGAAAATGGGACCAAACACCAAAAAATACGGTCTAAAAAACATTTGTAATATTCCTTATTATTTAGCTTGACTGATGTTTTTACCGAGTGGACTGTTTGCTTGATTGAATTAGCTGGCCATTTTTTTCATAAATTTGATATTTGTCAAATCACCCAGTTCCAGATAAACCTAAACTCTCTTAACTAAACTCTCTTAAGGAATGTTTATTCTGTTTCTTTGTTTTTTTTAAATCTCTTGGGAAGGAAAATAGGAAACTTAGTTCCATACGCACTGTTCTTTCATAGATAACTCTGATCAGTTTATTGATCACAGAGTATTTACCGGACATATCACATTAGGTTATTATATTTGGTTTTATTAATTTCTCTAGTAATTATGATATACAAATATCATGATTTAAAAATACATTATTCAGTATTTAAAAAATCCTATTCATTTATTTTTGCATTCTGAATTTATTTGTGCAAAAAGGTTTCTAAATTATTGTAAGATTTTCTTTACTGATGTGCTTGTTGCAGATGACAAAGTCTGAAGAAAATGCAGGTATTTTGGAGTTCAATTTATTTGAAAATCAGATTTATACTTCCTACAGTTTCCATATAGGTAGATTTTTTCTTTCTTTTTTTTTTTTTTACATTGAGGAAATGAATTATAGGTGGCTCTTATATCAAAGAAAATGTTTCTAGAATGGAGATGAATGGGTCCTGGGAAACTAAGCTTTTTGTAGGATTTTTGTTATTTTAAATAATGTACATGTGTGCCCAGGAGAAAGGCTGTAATGTGTGGACAGAACCACAGTTGTGTGCATGAAAGTCCCTGGTGGAGGGGCCAACTGTGGCTAAAATTTCTCCATTTCTGCCTGCCAAAGGTGTGCCTTACATGAGACTCCAACTGCTCAGAGGGTGCCTTTTGCTAACTTCTGTTTGTTGAATTATCAGTTCCATATATTCCCATATTAATTGGACTATTCTTTTTTCTACAATAATTAGTTAAAGGCTGGGTACCTGTCCAAAAAAGGGGGATTCTGGGAAGCAAGAAAGGACAAGGCTGAAAAAGTGATTCTTTGCAAACGGAAGAGGATCTGCAATGGTGGACATGAACATGTTCTCTGGACAATATGCTCTGTTATGATACTAATTAGCTTAAACTTTCCCAAGAGTTACTTTATGAGATTTTATAGTCTACTAAAAGACTAACATTGTTCAAAAGCATACTTAAAATCCTGTTCTGGAATTACCTACAAAGCCAGTTATGAACTGTACCCAAATCTCTCATGATATTTTATAGTTATACTACATTACCAGGATTGTGTATCCAGAGTCATGGTTTGGAATAGTTTTTGGAAATTGAAAAAAAAATCTATCCATAAAGGACAATGATATAGTATCTGTGAGGAATACTGGAAATCTAGCACCACTGTCCTGAGAAACTATAAAAGAGATTTCCAAAATTATTTCTAGGTAGCAAGGACCCTGACGGTGAAGTGACTTATTTTGACAAAAATCGGGGAAGGGAAGTTTGCTAACATTTAGTTTTTCTGAGAAGCAATCTCCCATAATGTTTAAGCATATGAACCTGGGAGCCTGGTGGGCTTGGATTGAATGACGGTTTTATAATTTATTAAGTATGTGCCCTCAGAATTTCTCAACTTCTGGATACCTTAGGATCCTCATCTAAAAAATAGGAATAATAATGGCAACTCACTCCTAGACTCATGAAGACAATATGAATTATTTTTTAAAAACATCAAACCAGTACCTGGCACATAGTAACCCAGCAATAAATGTTAGATATGGTTAGTATTATGATATGCTTACATAGATTTATATACATTTGCATATGTTCTTAATCTTTTTGGAGGTAGCTATGTTTTCCCCCTTTTACAGTTGAGTATGCATCTTGCTTACTTGTAGAGGGATTAATAGCTGGCAAGAAGTTCAGAGAAACAGTAAATTGCTGGGCCAGGAATAAAACTCAGCTACTAATGATCAGATTTCTCCTACTTCCTGGGTCAACTATTTAAAATATCTGAGACATATCTTAGTTCCTTTTAATAGTCCTGGTCTACTGGAACCAGCTTGACCCCTGATGGATAGAGACTAAATGAATCAGATCTAGAAATCTGATTCTGATAAAATTTGCCAAGAATCTATCTTTGATTTTACTGCCATCATTAGTGCTGTTTACTAGATAATTCTTTCTCTCTGCCTCTGATTGCACAGTAGGATTATATTTCCCTGCCCACTTTGAAGTTACACACGGCTATGTGACTTACTTTGGCTAGCGCAGTAGAAATAGAAGTGAGCTGGCCCACTTCCAGGAGGAGGTTTTAGGAGTCATTGTGATTCATCATGTCCTGTTACCCCTGCTTGAATGATTGCAGAAGTATTTTGTCAAGATGGGAATTTCTATCGCTGGACCAGTAATGGACCTGCAGCATGACTGAGAAATATTCCTTGTTGTTTTAAGCCACTGAGATATTAAGGTTCTTTTTTTTTTACCATGCTATAACCTAGCTTGTGCTGCCTGATGCAACTATTGACGGAATCTGGAACATTGAATAGCCAGTAGGGGATTGTAAAGCTCACTATAAAAAGTGGGAGATGCTAAACCATGGCAGCCCAGAGCTGAATACACACCTTCTGTGCTCTCCGTTTGTCTGCTCGTTGATTTTGGTGGTAGATCCGACTGAAGTTAGATACAATCACTGGAACAGGAAGAGCAATGACCAAGACCCCACTCAGCGAACAGATGGAACCAAAAATCTTCCCTGCTATGGTTTTTGGTACCATGTCACCATACCTGGGTTAGAGAAAAAAAGTAAGGTTTTAAGTCACAGAAAGTTATTTCTGCCTGCCACAAATAGCTTTTTACCTTAATTCAAATGATTTTTTTGGACCAATCTATCTCTATTTCATGATGACAATATACATGGGTTAAGACTTCAATAAACCAGAAATTATGAATATCTGAATATAAAAAATTATCTTTCAATCTTGCAGGAATTGATTATAACATTTAGATATCTCTTTGACTGGAAAATATTTTAAGCCAGATGATGTAATGATAGCTCTTCAATCTGTCCTTTATATAATATGGCAAAGTTCTTTATATTTATTTATATTCAGTATTTCCATGCTGAATTTTATAATCTAGATAACATCCTTTTCCACTTCATTTTTTCAGCATTAGATTGGTTATGAAATTCAAGTAGAAAAAGTGGTATAGCACATTCCTTTTGTCGAATATAATCACTTAAAAGACAAACTTTCCAAGGTCTCATTAACCTTCACTTGTTAAATCCAGTGGTCGTTTCTCCATGATGATCTTATTCAATCTCTCATTTATATTTAATTAGTTTTCTCTCTCCTTGCAACACTTTCTTTTGGCTTCAGTATTGGAAAATTCCCTTTGTGGTCCTCCTACCTCATTGGCTGCTTCTCCATCTTCTTTTCTGGCTTTTCCCCCCTTATTTGATTTCTAAATCCTGGGGTAACATGGGTCTCAGACTCTTACTGTCTCCACATAAACCCTTTCCTATGTGATTTCATCCAATCTCATAGCTGGCAGTTACTTATATGCTGCCGATGCCCTAATTTATATTGACAGCCCTGATGCCTATCTTGAAAATGAGATTCATATCTTCAGTGGTCTGGTCTGCTTTGTCCTACCCCTGGATTTTTTAAGAACCTACTAAGAGCCAATTAAGACAAATTAGCCAAAAAGGAACTCATTTCTGCCACCCTCGAACCTGTTCCTCCCACAGTCCTCCAGTTACATGGAACTGCAGACCACCCAGTTGCTCACACCAAAATTGAAAGAGTCGCCCCAATCTTCAGTCCCTGCATCTCATTTCTGAGCTAGTCTTGTTATCGCTGACCCAACCAAATTATATCCCATTCAGGTCTCTTTCCTTAACCTCCATTTTACCACAACAATCCAAGCTATCCCCATCCCTTGCCAGAGCCATGGGTAAGTTACAGCTTCTTACCTGGACTCTCTCTTCCATATTTCCCACTTGACAATTCATGCCAACATAGTAGCCAGAGTTATGGTTTTAGAGTGGAGATTGGACTGTTACTACTTTGCTTAAACCTTCTAATAGACTTGGAACTAAAATAAATCCAAACTCCTCAGATTCATCTCCAAGAGCCCATATTGTTTAATTACTGCCTGTATTTCACACCAGGTCCACTGTCCTCCAGCTACACTGGCCATCTGGCTTTCTGTTCACATGTGCGGACACCAGATCATTATTATTCAGGTTGAGACTTACATGTGTCCATTCCATAAGTTATTTTGCTGGCTACTTTATCCACAGTGGTCTTATTCTCTCCCCTAGTCATTCTCGATAACATTTCCCCATTGAATGCCCTTCACAGTACTGTTAACACATGATATTTTATAATTTAGTAACATATTTATTTTTTGACTACCCACCTGCCCTGCTGTCATTAGAATATAACCTCCACAAAGCAGGATCTGCTCTATTGAGTGTCTCACCAGCACAAGGCAGGCTCTTAATAAATATCAGTTGAAGAATCCATTTTTCTCTACCTTACTGATACAGAGTTCTTCTAAGGATTCATCCCTGGGGAGGGAGCAAGAAGATCTTTTGATCCTAAGACTGCAGAAGTTACCTAGCTAATGCCTGTAAAGCTCCAACTACTCCATGTTCACTGTGAGGCTCTGGGGTGCTCAACACTCTGAGAGGAGCTCAGGTATTGGAATCCAGACTCAAGGAGGTTTAGGAGGACCTGAGGTTGCACTGTATCCTGAAGGGTGGCCTAGGAAATGATCACTGTAATTAACATTGTTTTGTGGGAAAACATTTGTGTGTCAATATGGAAAGGAAAGTTGCAGAAGGATTGGTCCTGGAAAGGGAGGTGAGAGTGACAGCAGGCTCTCCTGACTGGCACGTTTGGTGACCCCATTCCAGGCTCTGGTCCTTGTTTTGAAGGCTCAGTTACTCATTCTTGTCAGTGTTTTGCGGTGATTGGCAGTCGAGCTAATTCACTGTAACTAAAATTCCCACAAGGTTTTGGCATCAGAACGACAGAATTAATTTCTAGTAAAACAAACAAACAAACAAAAAAATAGAAAAAAACCCAGAAATTGGAATGCTGTGTCCATATGAAACAGGGTCTCTTTCTTTCTTTTCTTTTTTTTTTTTAAGATTTTATTCATTTGAGAGAGAGCACGCCAGAGAGCACATGAGCAGGGGGAAGGGCGGAGGGAGAAGCAGGCGATGTGGGGCTCTATCCCAGGACTCCAGGATCATGACCTGAGCCCAGGACTCTGGGATTATGACCCGAGTCGAAGGCCACCACTTATCCAACAGAGCCACTTGGGTGCCCCAAAAGGGTCTCTTTCTGTAGTCCATCCGGGAAGGTAAATCATAATCTGAGGTTTGTTAGTAAGGAAACAGTCACACATAAAAGAATTTATAAGGTGAGCAAAAAAGTCATGAGGACTTTCTTACTATAGGGATCTGTCAATGGAATTGGAAGATCAACTTTTTATACAATGCTGTGTGCACGTGAGCCAATTTCTATGTTTGCCACAGTTCACATTGAGTGCCCAGTCATATTTTATTGACCTCTTTTTTCTCTTTGCCCTGATGATACAGTAGGTCCTGGAAAAGTCTAAAACACATACACATACAAGCTGCTTTTCAAAAAAGGGATTTGATTTCAAGGTCTTCCAATCAGGGTCTAGAAAGTGTTTTTCAAAAGGGAAAATAAATAAAATTCAGCCAGATTTGTTGTGGCCAGAATAAACAAGCATTGAGCCCATGAGATTCAAATAAACTTTGCAAGATATAAATACATAAAATAAAATAAAACAAATAAGATAGTGAAATGAATCCAAAATAAAGTTTTTCCTGTCTTTCTCTAAGAGATGTTTTAAAATTAGTATTTATAAGCTACTTTTTGTATCCTAGGCTCGCTGTATCATCGAGTAGACAAGGCTAGCACTCTTGTAATTATTAGAGAAAATTAAGGGCTAGACTGTGTGGTATGGACCCAAAACTCAGTAAGATTTTAAGAAGACAAGAAGGCTGGTAAGTTCAGGGAGCAGGTGGTGGTGGTGGTAGGGATGGAAGATAATCATACATTCAGAAAGTCTTCCCCCAAAAGAAGAAGGGAGAAAATAAACTCCGAGGGATTCAGTCAAAGGGATTCTGAGCCAATTGATAAAAGCGGGTTTTCCTGGGAAAGCAATTTTTGACAAGGTGCCCAGGATTCAACTAGAGAAATAATCATTGCAAATCCTTTTTGAATGTAAACAGAGATTCTAATATAAATAAATAAAGCAGAAAGTGAACTTGTTACTCCGAGGGGAAAAAATGGGTAAAGTGAAATTTCTTGTTCATTTTGTAACAAGGAGGTAGAAAGTAAGGATGTGAGCCAGCTTGCGGAAAGGCAGAAAATTCAGCCTAGAAGGACCCGTAAGGGAAGAGAGATAACAGATAGGAGTGCTTTAATGTCATAAAGCTGTGCTAATCTGCATCAAATTCAGTCTTTATTATTTACCTCCACCGTATTTGTTTTACCATCCAAATTTCCTTCACAATCAGGAAAGCAAAGGTGAGCGCTTGAGGGGAACTGGCCACACCTTCGGTGATCATGGTGCAAAGGGACCGTGGGTGGGACAACAAAGTGCTCATTGGTGGGGACATCTCCTCCCGTCGTTTTACTCTTGAGTAAAAGGACAGATGCTTTTCAGGATACAGAAAATGAGGATGGGCCGCAGGGCTCCGCTGTTGTGAGGCTGGGGCAGAGGGAGATGTGGGGAGGGCACCGGGAGTAGGGCAGGCAGGGGGCTGCGGTGGGCGTGCTCGTGGGAGCGGCCAGCTAGCTGCCCCTAACTGCTCTGTGGGACCCCCTCAGGCTGATCCCAGAGGAGCACCTGAGGCCTCCTCCCACACTCCCCTACGTACTGTATCTACGGCTCTTTCTGCTCTGCTTCCTGCTCTTAAGATTGGACTGCTGTTTCTCTTTGCAAAATTAAGCATATTTCACTAGTTCAACTATGTCGGAGAATCACGACAAATACCCAGCGTGGTTTGTATCTGTTCTTACCGTTGTCCATTTTGTCTCTCTTCTCACTTAGGAATCACCTTGAGAATGGAAACAGTAATTTTTATCTGCAAACTTAAAATTGGGCCCAGAATCTACTGGGGATAGGAAATAGCTCTCTGGCAAAATCAGCTGCTTCCCTTTGTTTAACAAAGGCTCTTTTAACTAGTATTCAAACTCTTAGTAAGCAGCAAAATAGCATTATACAGCTCAGGAATCCTATCTCACACTCGATGGAGGAGAGTCTTAGAAGGGAAAGCTTCATGAGAGGTGACACTCAGCTCGGCTAAATGATCGTGTAGTTTAAGTATTGCCTACAATACTGCCATTTTTTAATGATGATTTCTATCTGAGGCATTTTGTTTACTGGTTGGCATTTTATTCTTTTATTCCATGTAAAAACATGCCTCATTTTTCCTGACCTCCTGATCTTTAAATTAATGCTAAGCCCAGTGATATTATATATTCTAGTCTTTCTGTTTTTCTACAGAATTTAATCTGATGTCCCCAGTCTTCAAACATCCCTTTCCCAAAAAGATTGACATCGAAAAATTATGTAGATGTGGTTTTGTTTTTCACAGAGACATTTTTTTTCTATATTTAAAGAAAATTTGTTAAAAGGTTATAAGGGGCTTTTAAGGTCTACTAAGATAAATACTGAATTCCTAGAAGATAGAAGAAAACAGGAGAAAGGATGGCATTGTATAAAAGAATCACTCT